TGTTGGCATTTGGTGTATATCTTTCCAGCCTTTCATTATTTTATGCACATTGAACAAAAATAGTTTTCATGACTGAATTCCCTTTGGAATCACTCTTCCATTGTCTTGGACAGGAGGTCCTGGCTTCTGTTTAAACAGCTGACTAACCTTATCAGGTGGTTGTTTGGCCACATTCTCAATGTTCTCTCCTGAAGAGGTTTTCTCATTCTTTATAGTATGGAAAAGCTGAGAGTTTTCCAGATCTTTAAGTTCTGCTTCCCTTTTGATTAACAATTTTGTCTTTAAATCACTTTTCTCCTCTACTGTTTTACTATAAACAGTCAAGAGGAGCCAAGCTGCACCTTCAACACTTTGCTTAGAAATGGCTTTAGCTAAATATCCAATTTCATTACTCACAAATTCTGCCTTCCACGAAACACTAGGATATGAACACAATTCAGCCAACTTCTTTGCTGGTTCATAACAGGATTGCTTTTCTTTCAGTTTTCAATACCATATTTCTCTTGTCTAAGAAATCATCAGATGGCCTTTACCATGCATATTTCCACCAACATTCTGTTCACTACTGCTTAGCTCTTCTCTAAGAATATTGAGGCTTTCTCTACAGCTCTTCTCCTTTCCTTCTGAGCCCTTGCCAAAATTTCCCTTAAAGATCCATTTACAGCAATGTAGACTTCTTAAAGCATGCACCTCCAAACTCTTCCAGCCTCTATCCATTACCCCTTCCAAACTAATTGCATATTTTTGGGTGTTTGTTAAAGCAGCACTCTCACTCTTGGTACTGATTTTCGGCCGTAGTCCATTTGGGCTGCTGTAACAAAATACTGTAAACTGGTTGGCTTATAAACAACATAAATGTATTGCTTACAGTTCTAGAGGCTGGGAATTCCATGATCAATGAGCTGGCAGATTCCGTGTCTGGTGAGGGCCTGCTTCCTTGTTCATAGATTGGCACCTTCTCACTGTCTTCACATGCTAGAAGGAACTAGCTAACTCTCTGAGGTTTCCTTGATGAGAGCACTAATCCTAATCACGAAGGCTTTACTCTCATGACCTAATCACTTCTCAAAGGCCCCACATCCTAGTACCATCTCCTTGGGGGTTAGGATTTCAACATATGAATTTTAGGGGGACACAAACATGCAGACCAGAGCAGTGTGTTTGTAATCATTTCTTCTTTTGCTAGTGGTTATTAGGTCAAAATGAATTTGCTTTGGAGAGCTGGAAAAGGGTTGAGAATGAACAAAGAAGAACTCAGTACATAGCTACAAAAAACAAAAAACCAAAAAAACCTAAGAGTGAAGGGAGAAGGAAAGGAGAAATAAAAATTAGTCTAGCATAAAACACGGAGAAGAATACTCACTCATAGAGGATGCTGGGCTTCCTGGCAGAAGTTCCGATGCCAGGCATTTGGAGAAACAGGGTGAAGAAATAGAGGGGTCTTGAGGACATTGGCCTCACTAACAGAGAGGGTCCAAATATTCACAATATTGTAAGGTCACATTACTTTTTCTCTGATTTAAAAAAGAACCAATTTGGCCGGGTGCGGTAGCTCACACTTGTAATCCCAGCGCTTTGGGAGGCCAAGGTGGGTGGATCGCTGGAGGTCAGGAGTTTGAGACCAGCCTGGCCAATGTGGAGAAACCCTGTCTCTACTACAAATACAAAAAATAGCCAGGTGTGGTGGTGGTACGTGCCTGTAATCCCAGCTACTTGGGAGGCTAAGGCACAGGAATCGCTTGAACCTGGGAGGCAGAGGTTGGGGTGAGCTGAGATTGTGCCACTGCACTCCAGCCTGGGTGACAGAGTGAAACTGTGTCTTAAAAAAAAAAAAAATTAATTGTCAAAAAATAACTAAACTCTCACCATCCAAAGATGACCACTGTTGACATTTGGTGTATATCTTTCCTGCCTTGGATTATTTTATGCACATTGAATAAAAATAGTTTTCATGACTATATAATATTGAGGTACACACATGCACTTAACCAACACCCTAGTGCTGGACATTTGGGTTATTTCCTTTTAACTTCTTGTTTATTAACACAAACGTGAATGATCTGGCAGGTCGATGTTTCCACACTGAGGATTTAGTGATTGACTGGCTTGTAACAGATATGCTGCCATAGACTTTGTAGGGTCTCTCAGAGCATGCATGCTTGGGGTAAGGATTCAAGTGAAAACCATCCTCAGTTTATGCCCAGAAAGGGGTCTGCCTGGGGTCACTAGTGCATCTTTAATTGCAGTTAGGTCTGATCAATACAAGTCTGCAAATACCCAAAGATACCCAGTCTTCCCTCTTGGAGAACTCAGGTTCTGCTTCCTGTCAATACTAACCAGATGAATTCTCCAAAGCAGTTACTGTTGTTTCTTAACAATGCAGATTGGTATGACTGCATAAAATATCTTCCTGAAGTGAACCGAGGGAAACAAAAGGCAAAAGGGAAATTCCTGTTAGTTTTGCCAATTTTTTCCTTTTTTTTTTTTTCTGAGACAGAGTCTCTCTCTGTCACCCAGGGTGGAGTGCAGTGGTATAGTCTAGGCTCATTGCAATCTCTGCCTCCCGGGTTAAAATGATTCTCCTGCCTCAGCCTCTTGGATAGCTGGGATTACAGGTGTGTGCCACCACATTCAGCTAATTTTTGTATTTTTAATAGAGATGGGGTTTCACCATGTCAGCCAGGCTGGTCTCGAACTCCTGACCTCAGGTGATCCACCTGCCTCCGCCTCCCAAAGTACTAGGATTATAGATGTGAGCCACCACCATACCCAGCCTAATTTACATTTTAAAAGTTAAACCAACAAGCTTTCCTGGGCATAGTTAACCAAGCAGATGGCAAAAGGGAGAAAGCTGTTTGTGCAGAAGATTGTAATGCCAATGAGCCGACCAAAATTTCTTAGCCTGGCTTCTTGTTACGGGAGGACAGTTTGAGAGACTGGAAGTTTCTAACACTGGAAGTGTTAGAAAATGGAATAAAAATAAATCTCCTGCTGTGTAACTCTCTCTTCCCTACTGGGGGCAGTGCCTGCCACTCTTCTGGCTGCAGTGGGACCCACTGCACCCTGATGGTAGAGGAGAGAGAAGCTAAGGAGCTACCTCACAGAATGGGCCTTTGTGTCATGAGCCCTGGTAGTCAAATGCTAAAGCAAGCTCATTTCCTCCACCGGCTAATGTGTGCAGATGCAGCTTCGACATTTAGCATTAGTCTGTCCTCTGCATTTCAAGGGAGCTTTCAGTCTAATAAAATCTTGTCATTGTGAGATCCATAAAACTTACTGCTCTCTCTAGTTTTTCTGTATTTATATTTGTTTAGTGGTATAAGGCTGAATGAAATGGAATTCACTTCACATTTTCCGGCATGTTTATGAATTCTAGAATCTATGTGTTTTAAGTTATTGTGCATCTCTAAACAACAGGCAGTGAGGTGAGACCACAGAACCAGGCTTAAAAATTTTTCATCTGTGTTGTCCACATGTATTGAGTATGCCCTCAGTAGCTTCTATCTGTATCTGTGAATAATCAAAACATCCCTCTCTTGCCTTTGGTGTTTGGCTCTGAGCTGTCTCCTAATGCTGCCCTGTAGCTGGTTGTCTGGGACATCACATGGGAAGGATGAGAAGACACACATTGAAGTGGTTAATGATAGATACTAACTACCAAGTAGCCAGGGCTTCTTGTATGCCAGTCACTGTACCTAGTACTTCACATACTTCATCATATTTAATCATCACAACAATGTTTTTTTACTTTATGTTTGAGGAAACCCAGACTCTGAAAGGTTAAGTAACTTGCTCAGGATCACACGGCTGCGTAGTCTGTGGTAGAATTTGATCTTGATCCTCTGACTCTAAAGTCCATTTTTGAAAGAAAATTCCTTTTCTAATAACATCAAAAAGAACAAAATATTCAGGAATAACTTTAATCAAAGAGGTACAAGACTGGTACACTGGACACTACACACATTGCTGAAAGAAATTTAAAGAAGACCTGATAAACGGAAAAACAGCCCGAGTTTATGGAGTGAAAGACTCAATATTGTTTTGATGACAAAACTACCCAAAGTGATTTATTTTACTTTTTCTTTGTTTTGTTTTTTAGACGGAGTCTCGCTGTGTCGCCCAGGCTAGAGTGCAGTGGTGTGATCTTGGCTCACTGCAACCTCTGTCTCCCGGGTTCAAGCAATTCTCCTGCCTCAGCCTCCTGAGTAGCTGGGATTACAGGCGTGTGCCACACCACGCCTGGCTAATTTTTGTATTTTTAGTAGAGATGGGGTTTCACCATCGTGGCCAGGCTGGTCTTGAACTCCTGACCTCAGGTGATCTGCCCACCTGGGCCTCCCAAAATCCTGGGATTACAGGTGTGAGCCACCGTGACCCACCTTATTTTATGTTTTCTAAAGTCTGTATTCTTAACTGTTATGCTCTGCTGCCTACTAGGCAAGAGACTTGTTCTACATATTGTCTGCCATGTTTCGAAAACAACTTAGGGTGAAATGACACTCCCACACATCATTTTCCCTTGCTCTCAGCCCCTGTCTTTTTCTCTGTCTCTTCTACCAGTCCTGTGTCTCTTTTTGACTGGGCCCTGCTTTTACCAGCCTCAGACATGAGTAGGTGATGGAAGAATTCAGGCAGGGTGGCGCCTGTAGCCTAAAGAAACTCCAAATTCCCAGTGGGGAAAATGCACCGTGTGCTGCCCTTCCACTTGGGTTTTCCCAGGGCTGATGCTGGAGTGGAGGGATCAGTGCAGAGCGTGGCTTTGGTTCTTGGCACTAGGCTAGCTTGTTGACCCCCATCCCCCATTCTTATTTTGAGATAGTGTTCAAGCTCAGATATGATTCTTCCACCCAAGAATGTTGAGTGTTCCCAAGACAAGCCAAACCAACCCTCTGTCAGCCGGCATAGCAATAATGTTTGTGGGAAGTTTATGAAAAATCTTATGGAGGGGACTGTTTTAGAAATCAATCACCATCTAATGACCTCTTTTGTTTCCACTTTAGATGCAGCAGCAGGAGCATGAATCCCTGAAGGCCAACCTGTGTGTCCTGGCCCTGGGGCTGGGCCGCCTTCTTTGCTGGTGGTGGCTGGCTGAGCTGATGGCTCACCTGATGTACGTGCATGCCATCTACAGCAGCATCCCCCTCCTGGAGGCTGTCTCTGGTTGGACGTTAGGTAATTGTGGGAATCACTAACAGTAGGATGAGCCCCAATAGTCAGTTAGCATCAGAGTGGAGCTGGAGTGGGGGTGAGGAGCTGGAGTCGGGGTGAGGGGGTGAGCAGCTGCCTAGAGCAAACCTTCTTTATTATTATTTTTTAACCTACTCCTCTTGTGGCCAAGATTATGCACGTGAGAAGTGGTTGATGTGGTTGACGTGATTGACGGAAGTGAGAGCTGTGCTTATAATCTGGGAACCAAGAATGGTGGCATTCTCCTCTGTAATGGGATCCTACTGAGCTTAGCTGGGTCCACATCTTCACAGATAGCCAGCATTGCGTTTAGCAGTAGAAAGCAGGAGTTGCTGGGGGCAGCTTTGAGTTCATTCTAAGAGGGAGTGCTCCAAGATTGAGTTGTTCCACAGTCTTCCTTGTTCTTTGTGCATAGGGAATAAAAGAATACGAGGCTGGTTGTGGTGGCTTATGCCTGTAATCCAAGCACTTTGGGAGGCTGAAGCGGGCAGATCACTTGAGGTCAGGAGTTTGAGACCAGTCTGGCCAAGATGGTGAAATCATGTCTCTACTAAAAGTACAAAAATTAGCCAGGTGTGGTGAGAGACACCTGTAATCCCAGCTACTCGAGAAACTGAGGCAGGAGAATCACTTGAATCTGGGAGGTGGAGTTTGCAGTAAGCCAAGGTCATGCCACCACACTCCAGCCTAGGTGACAAAGCGTGACTCTGTCTCAAAAAAGAATGAGTTTGAGGTTCACACAGTTGTAGGTTTGAGTTTCAGCTTCACCAATGACTGATGGGTAACCTTGGCAGTTTACTTAACCTCTGAGCTCCAGCACCCTCATCTGTAAAACAGGGAGACTTAGCTTTGTGGAATAATAGGAGGATATTAGAAAGTGCCGCACATTGAGGGTATACCTTGTAAAGTGTCTGGGGTATAGAATAAAGGGTGTGTGTGTATTTCCCTCTGTAGATCCCCTTTTCTTATCTACCCTTTCCTGTGTGTCTGCCAGGGAGGTGGCATGGAAGTCTTATTTCCTCTGCAGGGCTAGTCTCCAGTATAGGATTTGTCTGTGGAGAAACCACTGTTCTTTATTCCTCTGGCCACAACAGCAGAGCCCACGCCCATTTCTGAATAAAATCTCTTCACTTCCTTGTTCTCTCTTTTTTTGAGGACTCCCACAGTGACTGACTTCTGCCTGTGCTCTGACCTCCAGCCTGTAGCTCCAATAACTGTGTGATCCTCAGGCAGATTAAGCTGTTTCCTGCTGAGGGCAAGAGTACAAGCCCGACTCCCTCCTTATCTGTTTAACATTTCATAGATCTTCCTAAACAAATCTTGATTGTTCTTGGTATCACACGTACTTAATCAGGATGTTTCCAAGGAAGAAACCTTTAAGATGGAAAAAATGCTAAGCTATTTTAATGATAGTCTCTTTCTTCAAAACAAAATTTTTTATAGTTTGGGGTTGCTTAATATTGTAAGGTTTTAATGATACAATTAGACAAACAGAATATGATTAAATGATAGCTTATACTAAGTCAGATCCCAGTTGTACGGGATACAAACTAAGGGACTGTTTCAGCGTGAGGGTTTTTAAACTACAAGTAATGGAAGACACAATTCAAAATGGCGCTTAAACAATAAGGAAAAGTTATTCCATATAACAATGATACCTGAGTTCAGCACTAGGGGTAGTAAATTATGTGACTCTGATGGCACCAACACACCTTTTGTATGTCTACCATTCAGCTTAAACTAACCAGAATCTTAGAAGCCCTTAGTTTGTGCTCCTAATCACATCAGCCTCTGTCACCCTTTCTGAAAAGGTAACCTGAATATTGTATTTATCCTTTTCTTTTTTTTCATCATACTTTTACCACAGTTAAAATTGCATATGTTAACACCTCTTCATATGAATAGATTCATACTTGGTATGTATGTTCTATGACTTGATTTTCTTGTTTAACATGTTTTTGAGAAATATTCATGTTAACATGTAACTAGGTACCACTTATTTTCACTGCTGTATAGCATTCCAGTGTATCCATATACAAGAAGTTATTTGTCCATTCTACATATAGAAGGACATTTGAGTTTTTTTACAGGGTTTTGCTGTTCCATATAATGCCATTTCTGTGTCTCTTGGAGCTCACGTGTAAGGGTTTCCCGGTAGGGCTATAACTTTCAAACTCTTTGGCGCATTACCCACAGTAAGAAATACATTTTGTATTACAGGTGTGTGCATGAGTGTATGCATGTCTGTATCTGTGTGTAAACTCTCACAAAGTCATACTTTACCTTGAACCACCTGCAATGTATACTGGCTGATATTTTCTGTTCCATATCATTCTATTTTAAAATATTCTATTTTAAAATCCCTGAATTGGATGAGTCACTATCAAGAGTTTGTCAAACATTGCTCGAATATATCGATGTCTATATATCTATATCTAGAAATAAGTATCATGGGTAGTATATATGTTCAGATTTATAACATAAATTATTTTTTAAATTGGCTAAACCAATTTATGCTCTTCTTGGCAGTGTATGAGGGTTTCCCTTGCTTGAAATTCTCACCAACACTTGATACTACTCAAAGCAATTTATAGATTTAATACAATCCCTATCAGTGACATTCTTCACAGAAAAAAAAAACAAAACTAAAATTTGTGTGGAACCAGAAAAGAACCGGAAGAGCCAAAGCAATTCTGAGCAAAAAAAAAAACAAAGCTGGAGTCAGAACACTGCCACACCTCAAAATATACTACAAAGCTGTAGTAACCAAAACATAATGGTACTGGCATAAAAACAGGCATGTAGATCAATATAAAAGAATAGAGAACCCGGAAATTAATTCACATATCTTTTAATTTTGAAAATCTGGTGGTTGTGAATTTTATCTCATGGTTTTAATTTGCCTTTCCTTGGTTACTAATAAATTTGAGCATCTTTTCATAGGCTTAAAGGATTTTATTATATTATTTCTTATTTATTTTTGAGACAGTCCCACTCTGTCACCCAGGCTGGAGTATGGGTGATCTCAACTCACTGCAACTTCCACCTCTTGAGTTGAAGCAATTCTTATACCTCAGCCTTCCAAGTAGCTGAGATTACAGGCGTGCACCACCATACTCAGCTAATTTTTGTATTTTTAGTACAGACAGGGTTTCACCATGTTGGTCAGGCTGGTCTTGATCTCCTGACCTCAAGTGATCCACCTCAGCCTCCCAAATTCCTGAGCTTACATCTATGAGCCCCTGTGCCTGGCCTGGTATATCATTTCTAATGAATAACTGTTGATAACTTTTGCCCATTTTTCTAATGGGATTTCTGTCTTTTTCTTATGGATTCATAAAATTTATTCTATGTTATTTGAAAAAAGTCGTATGTGTAGTTGCAAATATTGACATCTTTTGGTTTGTGGTTTGACTTCTAATGTTTGTATGTTGTCTTTTGATGAACAGGCTTTATTTTAATGCAGTTGCATTTAGACATTTTTATTTATCATTTTTACTTTTTTGGGTCTTTCAAAAATAATTATTTCAAAAATATAAATAAAAATAATTAGGTAAGTCTCTATTTTCTTCTAAAACTTTTAAAGTTAAAAAAATCTTTGGTTATTATGGACATTTGCATCATAGACTGATAAAATATAAACCATCCAAAATAATTTTTTTTTAAATTGACAAATAATAACTGTACATACTCATGGAGTACATGGTGATGTTTTGGTACATACAATGTATGGTGATCAGATCAGGGTAATTAGCATATCCATCATCACAAGCATTTATCATTTCTTTGTGTTGGGAACATTCAGTATTTTCCTTCTAGCTATTTGAAACTGTGTAATATATAATTAACGCTAGTCATCCTACAGTGCTATAGAACACTACAACTTATTCCTTCTACCTACTGTAGTTTTGTATCTTTTAACAAATCTCTCCCTATCCCTCCCTTTCCAGCTTCTAGTATTTTCTCTTTGGTTTTTTCACTTCTGTATGAACATTTATTAGCTTCCACCTATGAGTGAGAACATGTGGTGTTAACTTTTTGTTTCTAGCTTATTTCACTTAACAGAATGTCCCCCAGTTCCATCTTTGTTGCCTCAAATGATAAAATTTCATTCTTTTTTATGGTGGCATGGTATTCCATGGTGTAAAAATACCACATTTTCTGTTTCTTTTTTTTTTTTTTTGAGACAGAGTCTCGTCCCGTCGCCCAGGCTGGAGTGCAGTGGTGTGACCTCGGCTTACTGCAACCTCCGCCTCTTGGTTTCAAGTGATTCTCTTGCCTCAGCCTCCTCAGTAGCTGGAATTACAGGTGCCTGCCACCACACCTGGTTAATTTTTATATTTTTGGTAGAGATGGGGTTTCACCACATTGGCCTGGTATTACATTTTGAGGGTGAGAGGTGGGGGTCTGGTTCAATTCTTCTGCATTTGGGTATCCAGTTTTCTCAGTACCATTTGTTGAACAGACTGTCCTTTCCTTAATGAGTGTTTTGGCAGCTTTGTCAAAAATCAGTTGGCTTAGATAGTGGATTAATTTCTGGGTTCTCTATTCTTTTATATTGATCTATGTGCCTGTTTCTATGGAAGTACCATGTTGTTTTGGTTACTACAGTTTTGTAGTATATTTTGAGGTCTGGCAGTGTTCTGACTCCAGCTTTGTTCTTTTTGCTCAGAATTGCTTTGGCTACTCAGGATCTTTTGTGGTTCCACACAAATTTTAGGGTTTTTTTTTTTCTATTTTTGTGAAGAATGTTACTGGTATTTTGATAGGAATTGTATTAAATCTATAAATTGCTTTGAGTAGTATTGTCATTTTAACAATATTCTTTCAATCCATGAGCATGGGGTGTTTTTCCATTTGTTTGTATCCTCTTCAATGTTTGTATTTCTTTCATCAGTGTTTTGCAGTTTTCCTTGTGAAGGTTTTCACCGCCTTAGTTAAATTTACTCCTAGTTATTTTACTTTTTTGTAGCTATTGGAAGTGG